AAAGTTATATAAACTGTAGAATTTTTTAACATTCTTACAGATTCCATGCTAGAAGTGTAAGAATAAAATTTCAAGTCTGTTGTTTTATATGCAATGCTTAATTCCAAGGTGACAATATAATTTTAACTTTTTACCACATTTCAATTTATAGATAAAATGTAAATAATGACATATTTACATTATCAAATTAAATATTATTTTTACTTGCTTGACTTTTCACCAATTTTATGCTCATAACTAAATATATTCAAGTCAGGATTTGATTAAGAATATTAAGTGGTATAGCAGTTTACCCACTTTAACAATACCATTTCTCAGAACTATGGTTTGTTCCTTACATCCTTACAGATGCTCCAGTTAGCCAATATCTTGAGAAACCATGAATTACTGCTCAAATAACTATTTAATTAATCATGTTTAATTTATGCTTAAGCTATTTCTTTAGTTGAGCTTTATTAGTAACTGTTCAAACAACATGCTGTGCCCTCATAAAAGGATGACTTTGAAAGGCTGTAGTAATAAAGACACTTGCACAGAGAAGGAAAATTTATGTGAAAAACAAGATATGAATATTATATTTTCAATGGATGATAGTTTCTTACCATTTATAAACCATACTTTAGGATGTGAGAAAAATCCTAAAAACACAACTATAAATGCATTGTTTACAGATGAAACTCTTCAGAACTGCACAAAAATTAAAGTTGAAAAATGTCTTTTATTTTTTCTTTGCAAATTACACTAAATAAATGTTACATTATTACAAAATATAGATTCTAAAATATTTTTGAATGAAAAGTTGTTAAAATAGAGTTAGAATTATTATGTTGACTTAAATTTTGAAATTTTATATGCAGATGTTCACTCAACACCTGAAATGTGCTCTCAGTGCTAGAAGGGTTAAAAGCAATTTTCTGGTGGTTTATGGTTTTCAACAAATATGGGATGAAGTGAACATATGTTAATAAATTCAAAGAGTTGGCAAAATTCCAGTTGTGCAGACCCTTGTCTTTTTAATTCCCAACACTATGTTTTAAAACACAGTGATTTTTGTAATTTTAAATTAAAACTTTACAGAAAATATTATACTTTGAAATAAATGTTTCCAACGTAAAAAAAGGTATCAAACTTACTAAATAAATCATGTAGGCACCATGACGAGAGATGGAAGATGCTGTAGTCCAACATGGATCTGTGCTATTATATATGCTTGTACAATTTGGTCCTTCTACTACATAATTGCTTTGTATAAAAAAAAATAAAATGAAAAATTCCTCACAAGTTAGCCTATTTTACTTCATAATTTAGTTTTTCAATAAAAAATTAACAGTATAACTTTAAGATCCAAACTTTTAATATTAACAAATTTCACTTCAATAAACTATGAAATTAATGTCCACAAAAATATATATATATATGTAGTTGATAAACTTTTACAGCCACATAACAGTTTAGCAGAATCATAATTTGGTATGGATATTGGCAACATTATGAGATTACAAATACCACAACAATCATACATAAAGTATAGAATACAAATAGTTTTCACGATTCCCTTAGTTGAAGTCCTTTAATTGTATGTAATAAAAATTTTTTTGTTACTCAGTACTTACAGATATGAAATAACAGCTTAACAGAAAAAAATTGCATTTGATTGTCTTAGAGTTTTCTCTGATTTTATAATTTGTTTATAGTCAAGTACAGTTACCTAGTATATTTTTCTTGTTCACAAGCAAACTAACATACAACTTCACATACATTGTTTCAATAGAAAAAAAAGTCCATAACAGAGACAGTGTACATTATTAAAATCAAACCCCTTTTTACTTGCACAACTTTTCATCAACTTTATGCTCATTATTGTAAACAAAATACATTCAAGTGCGGATTTGATTCAGAATGTTAAAACAGTTTACCCACACAATAAAAACAGGTGATTTTTAAGCCTAGCCACTTGTCATACATTTAACAATTTCATAAAGAAGATAATTTCCTTTATGAAGAACAAAATTATGCTACATGGTACTTCTAATAGTGTATATTTAAAGTTAGTTAATTGTGTTGTAAACATATATTTCATTAGGTTAGCAAATTATGGTAAGGTATGGGCAGTCTTGTGATTTTTCACAAGTTTTCAAGTAATACATCTGAATCAACCTTACTAGTTTTTATTTCTCTATAGGTAAACATAAAAAATATACTGTAATATATCTTTTATGGTTTATTTACTTCTTTAGTTTCCAAAAATGCAAAGCTTTTTTTTTCTTTTCTTTATTAAAAGAAATATCACAAGCATCTTTGTATTTTAGAATGTTATCACACATACATACTTATTCTATGTAAAATGTAATTAAACCATTTCCTGTTATCAATTATTACAAATGTGTTTTATTCACCAAATTCTAAGTATTTTACTTCATATGTATCAGCTGTCTGATGTATTTGTGTTTTAAGATTTCTGAAAATGCTTACCACGTAACATCTCTCAGTGATTTGGCTATGGCAGCAGCATAGATAGTCAAGTCCCCATACAAGTAGACAACAATACACAAGTAGAAAAGATTAACCCCAACTGTAATCAGAAATATAAACTTTATTCTCACACTAATCTCTAATCAAATCTTGTAGACAATACAAAATGATGATGTAATCACAAAAAAAAGAATTTATTACTGCCAAGTAAGGAATATTTTTGGTAAAGCCCAAAACTCACATTATGGTGTACATAGTTTCAAGGTGTCCATCAGTACGATGTAAATATCACTTGAAGCATGATGAAATGATTTTTGATTTTGAAGTGCTCACTTTTTAAAACAACAAGATAAAATAAAAAATTGAGAATTTAAAAACCTGCAAATAGGGGTCATGAAAAAAGTAAGGAAGCAAAACTGGAGACACTATATACATTATTTACTCAAACTACAAATCCCTATTCTGACTCCATCAAATGTAATTCTAGGTAACAGTATGTAGCCAAAATAAAAGTTTGTAGTTTGAGTAAATAATATCTACAGTATATCCAGCCTTGTTTCCTTACTTTTTACAATTCCTGTTTACAAGTTTTTCAATTCCCAATTTTTTATTTATTTTATTTGTTGGCTCTTTTATGCTCAATTGTGGGCAAAGGATTACTTGATATGGTACCTAACCTAATACACTGTAATTATAATAAACATAGCTAGTAGCTAACTGATATGGCTCATGATGATTTACTGTAGTTATTGACTATCTGATTGCATTAGTTGGAGATGAAAAATGTTAAGCCACAGCTAGAGATTTGTTTGAGAATATAGTGAGCATTTATAGTTTCTGTGTGAATAAATTCTCTCTCTATATATAATGCATAGTATTGTTATATTTGTGGTAAATTTATTGTAAAGAAACAAAGGCAAAACATTACAGAATTAGTAAAACAAAAAGCATATTATGTGTATTTTGGAATAAAACTTGGGGACAAATACAAATCATGGGCTCCGCACAAGGTTTGCACCATTTGTGCCAAAGAGTTGAGACAATGGACTAAAGGTAGAAAAGAGTCTTTGCCCCTTGGAATTCCAATGGTCTGGCGTGAGCCTAGAAACAACAGAGATGACTGCTATTTTTGCTCACGTAATGTGCAAGGCTACAACACTTGAAATAAAAAGGAAATTTCTTATTTGAACCTTCAGTCTGCTATAAGACCCATTGCTCATTTCTATCCATTATACCTTTATCCTAATTCAAATATTTCACCCAATTATTAGTGTAAATCTTATTTTATCTCTGCAATATTAACAATAATGATTCATATAAATTTTTCTAAAATTAGAGTCCTGCAATCTAGCAATAAGTACAACTCCTGAGGTCATTCTATACCACTTGCTGACATAATATTCTATCAGTTACCTAGTAAAGTTCAGCACAGTGAATCATCATTCTCTTGTGATTTTCAAATCTGAAGCACCGTTTAATTCAATATACAAGTTTTTTAAACATATTAAATTTCATCACTTATTGAAAACAAAAGTGTATGTCCAGAATAACAATCTTTGGTTCCTATTTTCAATATAAAAAAGTCTTATTTATTGACTACTAAGATGTTAAATCTAGTATTTTCAAAAATCCTAATACAAACTTTCTTCAAAATCCTCTTCCTAAACTACTACAATCTTTGTTTTACAACTATACACTCAACATGAATTTATATACAGCTAAGATATTAACTTATAAGTACATAGTTGCTCATATAATTTAAAGAAACTGTATTCTTGCCAAACCAATTTATAATTTTTCATAAATATTTAAAATGTGTTCTAAAGGGAAGAAGAAATAATTATTTAAACATTAAAATGTAGTTAAATCCTTTAAAATTTACAAACTTTGTCTTTATTTTAAAATATATATTTTTCTACATATTTCCCATGAACATATGATTTATCTGTACAAAAACGGTCATATTAGAAATGCTCTCAACTTACTGTTGCATTCACTTATGTAAAGCTTATTACAAATACCTTTATTCTTTACACTTACAAAATGATATTCAATTTCTAAGTATTTTCCTATAATTTTTATTGAAAAATTTGTAGGATTGAAGTATCTTTTATGCATTTTTTTATCAATTTGAACTTGGTATCCAGTTTTACGTTGAAAGATATTTTGTCTACCTCAGTTCACAAAGATAATTCAAGATACAAATTTTACATAATTTTTAGTACTAAACATATATGATGTATAATTTTTTCATTATTACAATAACATCAGGAACTAAAAATTTGTTTAAAAGATTAAAAAAAAATTATAAAAGTGATGTCCAAAGGTTTTTGTTTTGAAATTATTCTTACCTAATCTATGTAATTATAAATAACTTTTTCTTTCCTCCACAGGGCAAGATGGCTTCTATCTTTTTTAACAAAGGTTTGTATGTTTTAATTAAGTACAATACAAGCTCAAACATACATTTAGAATGAAAAATTTGTTTTGCTTGAAAATTCTTCCTACTTTGTATGTTACCAAAAGTTTTTGGTTTCAAGGTACATATTTAAGGTAAACAAAAACAATATTAACTGTTTGCCTTTACATATTCTTATAGGGTGCACTTTGTATTGTATTTACCCTGTTGAGCATCACAGATATGCAAGAAAATAAATTCTAAATACACTGCAAAAACAAGTAATAATACGCAGATAACAACCTCTTAAAGTATTTGATTCTGTAGTAACTATCCTGAAATAAGTAAATTTAGAATATAAAAAATTGTTATATTAGTCTTTACCATTGCTTAAATTTTTTATTGAATTTTTGATAACTACAAGTTACTAAAATCTTTAATTCAACAGCTGTTGTTCTGCATAAACATCAGTGTAGTGAATAGAAAAGATATAAAAACTGTCACTTGGTTTGATTTTGAAAAGTTATGTTAAGTTTAATGGTCATAACTTTTGGCATGAGAGTTACTATACAATTCCAAACTGTAAATAGATTTCACAACCAACTTATAAATTTAAATTTTGTTCACTATTTTAAAGTTAACATTTTCCTACACTGAAAATGTGTTTCTGATAGATACTTACCTTCTTTCACATAGCTTTTCTTGACTTATACTGCACTCTATAGGTGAACATTTTCACTCACCACTAGCCTTGATACTCTCACCTACCCTCACATGTATTCATGTGAGACATCTGCATGCTACCATGCAAATGATCATGCAGCAACCCTCCACCAATAGAAGTGCAATCCTATCATAACTAGCACCCTCTCTTCTGTGCAGCCTGTAATCACTTCGACATTGGGCAGTACATACAAAACCTACACCAGAAGAGGGGAGGTTGGGTGGGAAATGTGAGAGGAGGTAAGTATCTATCAGAAATACATTTTCAGAGTAGGAAAATGTTAACTTCTAATATGATATCTTCTCTCTTCCCACAAATAGCTAGAATCCCACATTGAGTTGGCAGAGAGTCCTGTGACGAGATGATCCCCTTTTAGAAAGTGCCCAAAGGAAGGCCATGGGGTGAGTGAATAAATAGAAGATAAAACACCCATGGGAGATTGCATCACTTCTGAGCTGATATACTTTTTGTCCATGTGAAAACTTGTCACAATAACGGTGGCATCCAAGGAAGGACCTCTACCTCAACCAACACCAGTTGAATTGTGATATCCAGCTCACGATAGGAAGAGGATCCTCTACCTATCACCTCAGATACAGGAACTACTAGGGGAGATGAGCATCCGTACCAAGGACCCACATCATCATGTGTCCACAACAAAGTGGGTTTAATCTCCAGTCCAGCACCAGGCAGCATTGAAAATTTATTGTCCAGTCCATGGTAGGAAGAGGGTACCCGGCCACACATGAGGACTTGTGTGGCTGGTTCAGTTCTAACCATTACCATATCTGCCAGGAACCAACATCCTCAGCCAAAAGGACAAAGTTCATGTTGGCAGAATGCATCATCCATCACCTGGTGGCATCTGGAATTGTACATTATATCCACAGTACGATAAGCACCAATGCCATATACACCTGCAGAATACCACTGCCCTACTCTCAACTGAGTGGGATTAAGCACACTAAGGAAGAAGCCTCCATGGTCCACCACCCCAGTTGCTAGGAACTGGTAAGTGGCAAGGACTCCCATACTACACTAAAAGAAGAGGGGAAACAGCATGTTGGAATTTGGAGGAACAATGCACTAGAGAAATGCAATGTGATCCAGTGACCTACAATACACAGATCAGCAGGAATGGGCAGCAATTCCTGTCTGCTTTACTCATGTTAGTCCATGAGCATACGGTCTGGAGTGAATATCTTTATGAAGCAAAATACTGCGAGGAATAACTAAAAGTGTTCATATGGAACACCCCATCTCAACAGTTGGCGTATTTGACACAGGTCTTACACTTGCAAGTTTAAGTATAAGTATATCTGGTTAGGCAACACTCACCATAAAGCAGGATCCTGAGACACAAAACAGAGCCCCTGCAAAGGAAAGGTAGAAAAAAAGAGAGAAATCTTGGAGCACAAAATGGGGACAGGAGGAAGACGAACACCCATAGAACAGGAAACAGCCAGGAGTTGAAGGTAATGAGCAGTGAAGGTATGGAGAGTGTTCCACATACCAGCATAAATGATGTCTTCCAATAGATGATGAAAATGAGCAACCAGGGTCATGGGAAGCTGATGGATTTGATGGAAAAGACAACAATCATCCAGTGAAAGGAAAGAATAAGCAGGCAGATCCAACCTGAAAGGCTATTAGGAGAATGGTCATGCAACTGGAAAGGATTCCAAGGAATAAACAAAGGGGAACCACAGAAGGAAGCAGTGCACACCACATAACAACAGAGAACCCTAACCAGGCATAGGAGGCAATCGGGGCCAGAGAGTCAATAAATGTGTGATATGGAAGGAAGGGAGATGGGTGTGAAGTCAGAATTATCCTCCCAAGGGCATGGAGGACTGCATTGAGGTTCCAGTCCAGGAGAGAGGCAGGGCAAGGGGGACGGGTGAGGTAGAATGAATGAAATAAAAGGGAAAGGACAGGCAAATGGCATATTGTGTAAAATGAAACATGACTGAAAAAACAGCCAGTGACTGATGAGACTAAGAGGCCCCTGTCAAAGAGCTAGGTAAGAAAGGAAGTGTTGTGGGGAAGAGTGGGACAAGAAGGAGGACAACCATAATGTATGAACCAACTACAGTACATGCACCCCCTTCCATTGGTACACAGACACGGAGGAAGGATGAATAGAATGGGAAATCAGATGTCATGCTAGGGACCAGACAAAAGCCATGTTTGAAGACAGAGTGCGGGAATGGAAGGATGATGCATGCCAAACTAGAATTGAAGTCAAATGGTGGGGGAAAAGAGGAAGTGGAAGAGGAAACAATGGCCTAAAGAATATGACATGGGATGGTCTGGATGATAGAAAGGACCTGGGGAAGCAGACTTATCAGAGGGTAGGCATATGGGTAGAGGCCCTTCAAGTCCAGACAGAGAGCATCTACTACCCCAATCAAGGGATGTGGAACAGAAGACCAAAACTGTGGGAGATAAAAATTGAGATGTGTGGCAAAGGCAGGGAGAAGTTCTGTATTATAATTAACGTACAACATCTACAGTAAAGAATGGTGGTAGTACAGGTTTATGGGTGCATCTCAGCCAATAGTGTCAGAGGTCTACACAAAACTGACTGCTGACAAGTACTGATACATTCTGTTCCATTATGCTATTCCCTCTGGAACACAATTCACCAAGTGAGAAATTATTTTTCAGCAAGACATTGATCCCAAGCAAAGATCCAACATGAACATTCTTTAAGCTGTATGGAGTTATGTAAAAATTTAAAAAGTCAAAAGATGACAAAAGAACTTGGCTGAATCGTGGGGAGTAATACAGGACATTTAAAATAACACTACAGTTGTGCACTAATAAACTGTACGGCAGCATGAAAACAAGGTGTCATGTTGTGTGTAAAACAAATGGCTGGTATACAGAATACTAGTGCATTGTACAATTTATTCCTTTTTATTTTGTATTTCCTTTAATAATATTTATTACCATTAATAAATTCACCATCTTATTACCATAGCTCATTGTTTATGAATCCTGTATGTGTACCACCTGGGTGTCTCCATAACTGTTTACATTAGTTTAGTTGCTCACTTTGTTAAAAGACTAACTGAATTAAAGCTAACCCTTGAAATAATGCAAGTGAACTGAAAAACAACTAGTATGCTACTATTATTATTTCAATAACTTTTCTCTTCAGTTTATTCACTGTTTTACTTTCAAGTATTGCTTCTTCACTTGTGTAGCTATTAAAAAGTGTCTTATTATGTATTTTAGCAAGGTAATTACTGTCATAACTAAAACCTTTAACCCACAGAGCTAAATTAATCGTATATATTTTATACGTAATCTTTCAAAACATAATTTTACTATAGACATTCCACTTATGGGCTTTGAAAATTACATTTATATGAAATAATAAAAGAATTAAAGAAATACTACTTAAACATATTTCTAACAAAACCTTAGTTTACTGTTACAAATTTCTCAACAAAAAAAAGGAAACCACTTTCTAATGGCTTTTTATAGGGAGGTATTGTAAAGTGCTTTTTTCAAACATTAGCACTAGATTTTAAGCTCTGGTTAAGATATGCTCATCAACCTTAAGAAAACATCAGATAATCATGCATATCTACTCTAAGAATTCCAATATGAGGCAAGCAATACAACTGAGTTACTCACCAATTCAATTCTCTCAGTAATACTGTAATAGTCCACAGAATCAACGGTGTCTGTATGAAAGAAAAATTTTATAGATATATATTTCATTGTGATTATTCAAAATATTTGATTATCTCTATACTACATTACCTGTAGTTAACCATACATGTGACATTTTAATTTTCAACCACTTACTTTTACTTCTCCTATACATTAAAAAAAAACATGTAGGCAACCATTAGCTTTCATAATTTTGAGCATAAAGTAAAAGGAAATTAATATTTTTGCTATTAATAGCTGTTAACTTACTACATCCTCTATCACAGAACTTCATTATATCTTTTTCTTCTCATCTTTACAGGAAACATTTCATTTCTTTATTCTATGCAAACACTATTGCTCACATTTCTCCACTATAATGTGACAGTCACTGAGAATCTGTTGTCATTGGATGTTGTGTAATAAATTAGTCACTTGAAAATATCACCTTTATATATACAGCACACTTTTATGAAATGCAGAAAATATTTTGCTAACACAGCCTCTGTATTTGGTATTTTCCTTGCAGTAATAAGACAATAAAAAATGAAAGATTTTAAGTAATTCCACTTGCACATTTAAACTTACAGACATATAGCACGCTTGTCTTTTTTGTATCAATGGTACTATAATACTAACACTATAATCAAGTCAAGTACAACTAAACAATGACTTTTTTTTATAAATGTAATAAAAACTCCTACTTTCTTTACCCACCAACATTTTGAATGATAGTTCCAAGAAATATTTCAAATATTTCCTATATCATACAGTAAATAACTTTACAATATTTTGTATATTTCTCTTATTCTAAAAAAATAAAAAATCTAAAATAATTTCTTTTCCGACACATGTAAAGTAATAACATATTAGGCTTTTGCTGTTTTGTTTTTACAATTACCATAATCAGTTCTAAAAATTCTAGAGAAAAAGTATATGAAAATATAAGTTTTATTTTTGTTTGTCAAATATCACTCTTCAGGAGACCTTTTCTTTTAGTGTTACATATCATTGGCTGGGATGAACATATGGCAGTCAAAAATCTATCTTAAATGCTATTTGTGTGCAGTATAAATAATGACTCACTGTTAAGATGTATTTTGTAAGCCACTATTTCCAAAAGTGTGGGGTATGCTACCCAAAGTGGCACAAATGATCTCTTAAGAGGGGAGCATGAGCAAGTAGAGTCAATAATGCAAAATTGAGCATTTTAATATATTTTTCACTAATTAAAATGATAAGTAATTACTACAACACATGTCGTATTTTAATGTGCATCTGTGTATTACATCTCATCACTTAACTCACACTTTCACTCATTTAAATATAAAAAAAAAAGGGAGAGAAGTGCAAGAAACCATATTTATTAAAGGGGCATGGATGACAAAAGTTTGGGAAACACTGCTGTATACCAAGGCTGGCAAAATGTGAACACTCTTTAGGTTTAATGACTGCAATTAAACATGATGTTTCATGACATGTATTATACCTAAAGAATTTTCAAGAATTTTATGAATTTTACAAATTCATAGCTTTCTCTTATTATATTATTTATATACAAAAAAGTACTTCGCAGGAAAACAAATAATGATCCTAGAAACACAGAACTGACTAAGGAGAAGAGGAAGCTGTTCATCTCGATCAATAGCATTGGATATAACTTCATCTGTTAACAGATCTTCCTGCAAGTTAACAAGAAAAAAAAAGCTTCTATTAATTTATTATAACAAAATCTTACTGACTAAATACTTGCACAGCAAATATATATGTATATATCTGAAACTTGAGCTGAGTGATTAGTGGAACTTACTAATCAATTCATCTTTGGACTCATTTATAATCAATTAAATTAAACTATTCAATTATTCTCATGAGTTAACCTTTGTATTTTCAGCTTTTTTTTAATTTTTGAACTACTCTTCATTTAATATGACAAATGTCTTCAGGTACAACAATTTAGGATTAAGTTAATTCTTTAATCCTAAACTGTTGTAGATGAAAGTTTATCATATATGCACATAGTACAAACTATAACAAGCTGAAAATACAATTGAGCCATTCTATGGGTTTCTACCTATAAATATTCACAAGACTACTCTACTGAAACTAAATAAACTAATTCTTCCTTTAAGACAACTGTTCTTAAGTTCCAAATGACAAAACTAGTAGAGATTTTTGTCACATTGTGACAGATAATACATAATTCAGTGAAAACAGATTCACTGTAATCCTATAAAAACACACAGTAAAAACTTTTAATATTTGCTAATAAAAGCTGTGATGATTCCAGATGACACACTTGCAGATATTAAAATGATTCTCAAAAAATCAAAGTTTGAAAATATACATTAAAACTACAGTAGTACTAAAAACTAATCACTGACATTTCAGAATTTTTCACTAATTCCATCAGTAAAATGAAAAACTTAAAAAATAATTAACAACTTTATTAAGCATAAAATTATCATAAGTGTTTATGCAAGAAGTTGTTGATACAGTCAAAAGTTCAGAAAAACACACACATTAAAATGATTAATAAGTTTACATTTTACAGTACACACTGGAAGAAACTGTAAACATATGTGCATGCTGAGAAATCAAACAACTTAAAGCTTATTGCACTAGGTAAACAGTGTTCAAGACAGACAGACATTCATTTTCCTTTTTCAGTGCTTCTTATATAGATAGAACTACCCATAATTAAACAGGAGTTCTGTTTATGTAAATACATAAACATATATACATATTGGTCCATTTAGGCTGTCACATTCATAATATTAAATTCAAAAATAACACATCAAATCCAGCCCTTATTATTAAAATATTTATCAAATCTTCCCTTAAACTTCCTTAATTTAATTGCATCTACCACATCTGAAGGCAACCCATTCCAAAAGCCAACCACCCTTTAAGAAAAATAAAGCTGTCTCAGTTGAAGATGATTCATACCCTGACAAAATTTATGTTTGTGTCCTCTAATTTTATTATTCTCACCATTAATACAAAAAAAACTTTTATATACTGTTAGACTATTATTAGTCCTTTTCTAGTAATTTCTACAAATACTGTTAAATCAGCAAGTTATTCAGCAATAAAAAACTTTTTACACAAATAAAGAATAATAAATCTTAACTTGCTACAACTTTTTTATTATCTAAGCAGTCTTACTATAAGTATGTTTGTAGCTTGGAAACACAATATATTAGGCTAAAGCTACAGTATTATTTAATCCAAACAACAAACATCACTGTAACAACACCAAAGTAGTACTTGCTATCATATCTTATGTTAGTACAGATGGTATGTATCTAAAGCTGATTAAGTTTGTTTCAGTTACAGTAAAGCTACTATGGCTGTCTAAGGCATTAGAATGTGATAGGCAATCCTATTTGTTGGTAAAGACTAGGCAATGGGTGTAGTTTGCTGGTTGCATTCCCTCTGATCAACAGTTCAAAATTAGGAACAGTGGTAGACAGTCTTGGTAGCTTTGCCATAACTCAAAAACAAATATAATGCCCACATGGCTGAAAAAGTGAACATGGTAGATGGCAATGGAAAGCAAACCAGAGATCCTCAGTTCACAAGGCAACCACCATAATTATCAGATCATTTTGGCCTGAAGCTGGACAAACATGAATTAACTGAAAAAATAATAATAATGAGAAATCATAAGGGCAATATTTCAATTACTCGATAGTTGGAATAATCGAAAATAGTAACAGCTGGAAACACAATTTTGACTAGTTAGTTATTTTTGTGAATCACACCACTAATAAATTAAACTGAACAAATGTGAATTCACTGAAAATAATAATGAAAAATCATAATTGCAATATTTTGATAACTTGGATAGTTGGAAAAATTTTAAATAGCAATAATCAGAAATACTAATTTTTCATTGGTTGTTTATTTTCATGAGGCATGACACTCTAATTAATTAAACTGAACAACTGGAATTAATTTAAAATAATGATGATAACTCATGATAATAATATCCTGATTACTTAATTGAAATTATCAGACAGTAATAATCAGAAAATTTCATTTTGATTAAACAAATATTTTACCTGACACTAATCTATGTAGCTAATGATCATAGGTATTCAAGTTAATCGCCTAGCTATACTTATGATATCCTTTGATGAATAATAAAACTTACTTTAAAACTTGTAAAATGAGTTGAGAATTAAATTAATATGTAAACATTAAATCAGTAAAATTAGTAAATGAGTTGAACATTAAGGTACAAAAATTTATAAACTAAACTTTTTCTGTAACAATGTGCATTGTATGAGAGAGACAATGCATGCTACTTAAACTAGGTCAAGGGAAATTGAACAAGTTAACTACATCTATGAATGGGTTAATTCTTATTCACAAGGAATAAGGATGTTGCTTGTTTGGCCATATACAGTGGTGTCATTTATTGGAACCTTCAACAAAGTTTCTAAAAACATAGTTATAACTTGCTTACAAAGCAGGCTTTGTATAACACTAGTTATGTCATCTGAATGATTGATTGTGTATCGAGTTCCGGAAAACAGCTGTGAAGAGCAGGAACTTAAGAGTACATCATTAATCTATACAAGCATGGGTGTCTTTCAGGATAAACATTTAGCACTGTAGAAAGCTACATAAAATCACAGTTAAGTCTTTACTGGTACCAATTAAACCAAACCAACACCCTTAATCAAAGGTTCACTGGGTGTGTACTTCAAGGTGAGTTTGAGAATAGCAGTAAAATGATGGCAGTAAAATGTTGTGATACCTATGGCAGAAAATGTCTATAAACTTCATCTGACTTGTACCTTGAGATGGGCATCATCTCACTATCATTTAAGACTTTTCTATAAACTTGATGGAGGGTTTAACAAAATAAGAGCCTATATGTCTTATAACTCTTAACTACAGCTTTACAGTGTCCGTAAACAATGAAAGTATGACTGAAACAGGAAAAGTATCAATATCATAATGAAGGGAAAAAAATCCATATTTTAATTCTCAATGCATGGTGCTTGCAAACTTATTCAAGTAAATCATGTATAGCCTTCTTACCACCAATTCCGACTGATAATTTATTGGTCCCATCTCTTCTTCTTTGATTGCTTTCTTGAAGTGCTGTACTGCATGCCGATGGACAATGGCATTGGCAGCTGCCATTGCCTCAATGACAAAAGTTGTTGTCAAATAACTAAGAAGAAACATAATCATCCACACATGAACAAGCATTTAAAAAAAATACTTTAATTATTAGCTATGACCTGTCATTCTATCTCTCATTACCTACACACAGTAAGCATATACACTTGTGTAATCCTCTTTTGTGTGTAAGTTTCATTGAGATGAATATTTTATGAAAACTGTTAAAAAACACTAGTAACTCATAATTTACTGATACTGTAATCAATGTACAAATCCAGGTTATTTATTCTAACTTCACACTTAGTACTTGCCTTTTTTTAGATAGTTTTGCACAATAATAATCATTAAGCATGACAGTGCTTAGTATGTAAAGATGGGCTGAGAAAAAAAATGGCCACCCAATTCAATCTATTACTCTATGATGCATACATATAACTGCTAAAGTTGAGCCTTATTTGAGCACCCAATTGCCATTATCAAAAGTTTCACAGCTTGTGAGACTCCCAATATCATTAAAAAATGTTGCTAAAGTGGAGAACTGGGAACTAGCTAAAGAGCCAAAGTGTACATCTTTCTTTTTTCTTCTCCCATGCTAGCCAAAAAATGATGGAGTTGTTACGTCTCCGTTTGTTTATTGATTTTTCCGTAACTTCGTTCCGACGAAATTTTAACGACACAAGTCTTTACTTAAT